AACTAGGTCATCGGGGCGAGGCTGCTAGCGAGCTATATCCACCCTGAAGGTTAATCTTGGACAATATCTGATGATCAACTCTTTTAAATGAAACCAGAGAGCATTGAAAGAGAGGAGAAGGTAGAAATGATGGAGGACCTTAGTTTAGCTTGTTTGTCGCGCAACAAACAAGCTAAACTGTTGTCCTCCATCCATGTTTTCAGTTCCAGGCTGAGGCATTTCTACCTTCTCCTCTCTGTCAACGCTCTCTGGTTTCATTTAAAAGAGTTGATCATCAGATATTGTCCAAGATTAACCTTCAGGGTGGATATAGCTCGCTAGCAGCCTCGCACCGATGACCTATCCACGTGATGTCATTATTTACCCAGAATGCTTTGCGCGTAAATAAAATGGTGCGTCCGTGTAATATACAGTATTTTTAAACTTTTAGTTTAAAAATGTTAAAAACTAAACAGCCTACAGTATTTTTACAGTCTTTATTTTATTTTATTTATTTATTTATGTGCAAATTATTGCATTCTGTTTTTATTTACGTTTTACAAAATGGTCCAACTTTTTCTGATTTAGGGTTCTAAATGCTCTACGTTATAAATACAGTCCAAAGACAGTCCATATATTAGCACAGAATCTTAAACATATGAATGTAATTCTGGATTTTGTGCAAAAATAGAGAAAAACATAAATCTACTTACAAGTCTTTGACCAGACAGCACCTCCAATAGGGCCAAGAGCTTCACCCCATCTTTGATGTCTTCAAACAGGTCATTAATCTCAAAGGGTGGTTTATGCTGGAGGTGAGAAGATACAGGTTAACATGTTAAAACACAAGGAAATTTGAAGGTTTTATCAGTATATTATGAGCAGTAAAACAAAATAAATTTGTGCTTGGACAGAATCTTACTGCTCATCAGTGAAAATGAAAAGAAAGCAAATGACATCAGTGAAAAACAGGCTTGTTAGCAGCAACCACAGAGCCTCCCTGTAGCTGAAAAGATGCTGTCTTTTCTTCAGCTGTGGCGTGTTGCCCAGTCCTGAGGCAACGGGACTCATTTAACCCAAAACAGGAAACAGCCTCCTAATATCATCACATCAACACATTTACAGCGCCACCTAATCTCTGTAATCAATGACAAGATTATAATCTATTGTTTTATATGTTTTTTTTTCCCAAAGTAAGGCTTTAATTAGAAAGAAGGATCACCATGGGAATTTATTTTTGGCAAAGTATAAAGCCCGTTCACAAATCAACACACTTCAGCTGCTGCTGGCTGCCAAGTATTTGGGGCAGGCTGAAGTGGCAAAAGAACTTCCTTCTGTTTTCTTCTTTGAACAAAAATTATATCTCTGGCCTTCTAGAATAGATCATTTTTCAATCTCTCAGTTATTGTAAAAGGTGAAAATAAATATTGTAGGGGTAACCCTGGTGAAATAAACATTTTTTATTTTTTGTCTTTGATTTTGCTTATACACTTATAAGAAGAAAGTCATTTTAAAGTTTATTTCTATTTTCTTTAAGTGAATACAACAATATGTTCTATATGTGTTTTCATTTAAACTTTTAAAAGATGTTATAATCAATATATCATTACTCAAAGTT